ACTTTACCCTTTCTCGTATTACATTGTTAGAATACGAGAAAGAAAAGTTCGCAACTTACCAGGTGGGAGAACTTGCGTTCAAAACCATCGAGGAGTTGGAGGAGGTGATTGCTGAGAATTCGTGAGAGAAAAATGATTTTAAAAAATTTATTTGATTTGTCAAAATGAAGTAATTGAGCTGAGTCGATAAATAAAAATTATTAAAAAAATTTAAAAAAAAATTTTCGGAATTAAAAAACAAAATTTTGAGCAGCTCAATAAATTATATTTTTTTGCGAAAAATACCTTTACCTTTAAAAAATATTTTCCCCAAACTTTCTTTCCCTACCCCAAAATTTATCATTTATTTTTAATCTATTATATGTGATATAAAAATAATTATTTTATTATAGCTTAAATAAACTTTTATTTTTAATAAATATTTAAATTTATTTTGTCTTTAACTTAAGGAATTTATAAAGTTTTTAAAAAATAAAGTTTTTAAAAATTTCAAAAAATAAATAAAATCAAATTGAAAATAATTCAAAAAATTTATAAAAATCAGAATAAAATTTGGATAGATCCTCATTGAAAAACTAAAATAACCCTCGATATTATTTATATTTGAAAGATAAACTTGGGGGATCTGGACTTGATTAGATTATCTAATAACCTTTAATGAACATTCAAAAATTATTAAAAAATATTGAAAATTGAAAAATTTTTTGAGAAATTTTACTGAAATTAAAAAAATTTTTGAAACTCGGAAATTAAAAAGTACATTTTGTTTTAAAAAATAAAATGTTGGACATCACAATAAATTATATTTTCCGAAAAATATGAATCTTAATAATATTTTCTTTAAAAACTTTTTTTACCCCAAAATATAACATACTGTATTTTCTCTAAAATAGCCCCGTGGGTTATTTTTTGATCGACCTCTAGAGGGGGGTTATTTTAGAAGGGGTTATTTTAGAATGGAATTATTTTAGAGAGGAGGTTATTTTAGAAAAAATACGGTAGTTTATTAATAAATTATTACTACAAAAATTATAAAAATTATAATAAATTTTTGATATTATTTGAGTGTTGTAGAAAATTCTGATTGATCCGCATAGAAAAATTAAAAATAAAATGATATTTTTAAGAGGATATTATTAATATCAGTGATATTATTAAGAGGATCCAAACTTGCAATTGTACTAGACTAATCACACCTCACGACGGATTAATCCCCTTCTAAATTGTTAATATCCATCTAATGCACTTTAATCTAAATTTAATATTTATACTCATTAATGTTATTTTGATATAATTTTAACTCTTATTTGTTCTTTTAACTCTTATTTATTCCTTTCTAGGCAATTTTAATAATTAAATTATAATTAAGTACCATTTTAATATTTATGTATTATGTAAATTCAATATCAAAACAAAATTAATGAGTATATATTAAAAACAAAGTTTGAAGTGTGTATAATTTTAAAAAAATGAAGAGTAAATTTAACTAAGTAATAAATCCAAAATTAAAATCTGTCTTAAATTTATCTTGAGATTGAAATAATTGAAAAAATTCAGTTCAACAATTTAGTTGTCAAGTTCAATTAAAAAATGATTGCAGGTAGTTAAACAAAATGTAGGATAAAACGGTGATTTATCAATGCAATTCATGTTGGACGATCCAACAAAAATCAAAGCTAGAGTAAGTAAAACGTTAACAGGCTCATCTAAAATCAAAGGAAATTTTTTCCTAAAAAGATCAGTTAACCTTCTAAATAAGTTAGGATTTTTCAGTTTTTCTTTGGCCTTCTTTGTGAATAATTTTTCCAATTCCTTGTTTCATTTAATAACCTCTTACTCGCGTTATATAGAGGTAAGGAGCAATTCTTAGCATAACTGTACGATATTCATTTGTAGATCTTAGAGCTCTTATTTCCAGATCGTTGTTCAAATGCTGTAGATGCAAGTGTGGCCGAGTGTAGACTGAAATTTGTTGATGCTTATTGACTGTTAGAGAATAGCTAAATTTGAATAACTAAATTTAAATTGGGAAAAAATTAACTAAAAAGATATAGTAAAAAGTTACCTTCCAAAAGCCGAGATATCATTGTTGGTGATGTCGTTGGTATAATAACTGTACGATATTACAGTTATTATTATTCAAAGCTTTAGAAAGCTCTTCATATTTATTGACATCGTTGTCAATTAATATTCTCGTTGTATGGATGATCTGCTCCATTGTTTTTTTCGACCTACGAATGGCAGAAAGTCCGTTGTTGACGTTCATGACGGCCAATATGATTGTTTAATTGGCCGTCGGGACATCTTTACCGTCGTAGGCGTCGAGTAGTAAAAGCGAAGTTTCCAGTTCTAATGGAATATATTGTTGCCGGACCTTTATTATAGAACCTCAGTAATAGGTCCAGAAGCAAAAAGCAAAGCGTCGTCTAGGTAGCAGCTTAAGCAGACGCTGCTTGACGGAAAGGGTTGAATTTTTGACCAACATCTCGTGAAAACACTAAATTAAAAATTTCTATCTTATTTAGCATTTACTTGATAAGAATATATCACCGATCAGGACCACTGAGTGGTGGTAGATACCTAGGAGATAGTCACATTTTGGAGTATCTCCTCCCGCCCACCAAAGGGTTACTTAAAAATGGAGTGGACCTTATAATTCTAAATATTTTTTAAAAATTCCATAGAGCAAACCGATGGCCTGCTATGTCCAAAATAACATCAGTTGTTTTATAATCACCATTATAAAACAACATGAAGCCATTCCATTGAATTTCAATTCCGTTGGAATAGTGCGTCCTGCAGAAGCCTTCGTCGATGCACTGCTTGCAAATCCTTGGGCCATTTTCAGGACGGATTTGGTAGATGGCAGGCAACTGAATGCCCTTTTTACTGAGCAATTCCATATTGGTGAACTGACTTTCGTAGCAATACAATATCCTTTTTAAAAAATAAAGAATAAAACACGGAAAAGAACTTTTTATGGTTATCCGGATTTGGTAAATCCCCCCTTGATCCCATTTATCCAAGCTTATCTACGCAACTTTAGTTTTCTTTAAAACAAGTTAAATGAGATATGATTTAAGTTTTTAATTGATATATAGAACAACAATGTTCCTATATTTTTTATGCATAAAAATGCCGGAGAGTCTCTCAAAGCTTATTCTCCCCATAATAAATAGGTATATTATTTAATTAAGTTACTAATTTGCAAGGATTTACTAAATTGCCTCAAAGCATGCCAGAAAATATTGTATTGTGAGTCTCCTTCGAGTGTCCTTTCAATCCAAACTGTCAACTGCTGGTTAGCACAACAATAGGCTCTCGTAAGGAGAGCATTTGATACCGTGTTGTCTTCAAAATTTTAATGATTGAGTTAACCGATGGTGTGGTATCTATGATGCTGTCGAGAGTCGGCTGATAGAGGTTTTGCAATCTTTTCCGTCTTTGCAATCTTTGCCCAGCAGAGAATGAGTTCTCTAAATTATTAAAAATTAAATTGAGAATTTTTATTAATGAAATACTTATAAAGTAAAGCTGCTGGGAGCAGCTATTTCTCTACTTTAGCTGGTGCAAAAGGGTAATCGGCGGCTGGGAGCGAACCAGCATCTTCAGTAAACCGGACTGTCGAGTTATTTATTACAGCATAGCCTCGGGAATTATATGCTTTACAATAAGGTAATGTTTCATTTTTTGATAAAAATATTTTAAAGCGTGATTTGATAGTTCCAGATCCACTATAATATTTGGAAACCATTTAATCATTATGATTAAACACCTGTTGCACTGGCAAAGTGCCTTCTGACAGCTATCATTTTCCTCGTTCATACATGTAAAATTTCCATTTAAGCATTTCATGTTAAACGTTGATGGTTCAATTTTGATGAAATACGCATTACGTTCTGATGCTTTCCATGCACAATAATGGTGATTTTCGCAGCACCTTAAACAATATTGTATTATTCAAACTTTGCTATTTCATTAATGGAATAGAATTATTAAATTCTATTATTTTAAGTAAAGTACTAATGTTTGGATCCCGATAAATGTAAAACACAAGATAGCTTATTGGCTATAACCTTTAATGAGTGATCAGACTTGACCTATCTTATTAGAAAAAATTTAAGATTATCGAGGGCTTTCGAATGATATAAAATTCATTTTTATTGGATCAACCCCGAAATATACACGTTTGGAAGATTTACTAAATTTTATTTGGTAGGTTAATATTCTACCTTTCTTATGAACAATATATTTTATTAACAATTAAAGCTGAATTGAAGTTGGCTCGGATATCAGAAAAATAATTTTAGAGAATAAATAGAATATTTTTGAGTATTTATTATTTAAATAAAATCAGATTTAATAAAATTTTACTAATAATTTTTAATTTAATTACCAGTCAGAATTTTAATTATTTAAATACCCCTTTTTAAGCTTAAATTAATTTTGCTGATTATTCCTGAGAAATGGATCCAAAATTAATTTTTTATGCTAAAATCGTACAATTCCCCTTTAAATTTGGTGAGAATTGTATAATTTTGGTTAAATTTTGTGTGCTAAAAATATTATTTGTGAATAATCATAGGACCAGTTTTAGTGATTTTAATTATAATTTAGTTGTGAGAAAAATTTTTTTTAATTTAATTACACTAAACTATATAATTTTCACCAATTTTGTATGGGGGAATTGTACGATTTTAATATAAAAAATTAATTTAGAATCCATTTCCCATGAATAATCAACAAAATTAATTTAGGTAAGCCAAAATGATGGCATAAAATGAGTCGTAAAATGAGGCTGCCTTAGCTTCCGCCCTTTAGTTAATTTATTTAATTACAAAATTTAACGTTTATATGATTCATTTAATAAAATAAATTTTTATTTTAATCACGCCTACAAAAAATTAATTTTAATATAAAAATAAATTATTAATTTAATTAATTTCATTTATTTATCTATCATTCAGAATATAAAAATTAAATTCAAAAAAATTAAAATGATGCCTAAATCTGCCATATTATTTATTTTAGCTTTAATTTTTAAATTTTCGTCATCATCGAAGTGGGAAGTAGATGGAGTTGTAGAGTGCAAAGAAAATATTCATGGATTAGGGGAGTTTTCGCATCTTCTACAAGAAGCAGTCATTCACTTGTATGAAAGAGATTATGGCCGTAAATATTTTTATTGCAAAACTTGATTTAATTTCTTAATTTATATATAGCTGATAGTAGTATTGATCCTGATGATTTATTGGATGGACCTGTCTTAACTGACATTATGGGGCATTTCCAAGTTAAAGCTCGCGGCGTCTATGAGATGACCGCTACTCCAGACCCTTACATACAAATTGACCATCTATGCTATACACCAACATATAAACAGCCACTCCGAATGGTAAAAATAAATGTTTATCAAATTTATTTAGTCATTACTAATATGTACTAAGGGATTATATAATAAAAAATTGAAATACCGTATATCCTTTAATAACTACCCTGGGTAATTATTGTTTCAACCTTCCGCTGGAGGGAGTAATTAATCGAAGTGGGTAATTATACGAGGTTTGGAATTTGAACAAGTTTTAGGGCATTTGGTTGGGAGTAATTATTGTTTCAATCTATCACTGGATGGGGTAATTAATGGAAGTGGGGTAATTATTTGAGGGAGGGCAATTAATAAAGGTTATACGGTAAGCCCGATTTCATTAAATTTTCTCAGTTGGGTTTCTAGTTTAATTTTGTGTGCACAACCTGTTCGGTCAGATAAATTTAAAATGAAAACGATCAGAAGGTTGTGTGGGATAGTTGAGCTGTTTACAACAAGATATCCAATCCCATATATCCAATCACTTGCTTTTTTTCTGGGATGGGATGGGATGGGCAACTTTAACATTTAATAATAGCAAATAAATTTAGGGATGCTATTACAGAACTATAATTGACCTAGGTAAAAGTAGCAAAGCCATCAATGAACTGAAAGTCCACATCATTTTGGGAATGGAAAGTGCTAGATTAATTACTGGAAAAGGAAAAGATTTAGAAATAAAAACAATAGAAAAACTTCACTGTCCGTCTAAATAATGTTTTATGTAATTTTATTTTGTAAGATAAAATTGAATTTAACAAATCACAAAATATTTATAGTTTGTTTAAAATAAAATCATTTTACAGGGTGACCAAAAAGTCATGGGGCACTCTTCAGCTAATCATAACTTTTTTTCCAATTTAAATTTTTTCAAATTTTTATACTCATTTTGTAGCCCAAACAATTCACTTTCACCGATTTACACCTAAAATTTTGGGTCGTTATATCATTTGTAGTTTTTTAATTTATATCATTACCGGACACATTGTAATCATCTAGATCTTGCTTTAATGTTCTGTCAAGAGAATATTTGGAAGCTTGTACCAAAATTCGTATCTGTATACGAGTACGACCATTTAAATGATCTAGAACGGGCGTACTAGTATGCGGAAAAAATAAGTCCTGTACGAAAGTACGGGTAGATTAACACTCAACACTCGAAACGTATAGTTTGGGAGTAGACTAAATTATTATAAGAGTGAAAAGGTGTAGCTGCTTAGAATTTGAAACTCGAGTGTGGGGTGGAAGATCTATATCTAATCTGCCTAAAGGCATACTCAAAGACACAGCACCAGTATCATAATCTATAATCACTCAATAGCTCGTTAATACATAGCACGCTTCTATATATGATTGTAGCAAGAACTGCCAAAATTACTCAGATTCTCGTTCATATTCGTTGGATAAACTTTAGATTCGAAGCTCCATTTTAGTATATCTAGACAATTTGGAGAATTAAATTAACATTGAATATTTTTAATATTTATAAAATTCAAATTCAAGATCAAGACAAAATTAATGAGTACTCAAAGACACAGTACTCAAAGACACAGCCTAAAAAACAAAGTTTGAAGTGTATGTAATTTAAAAATGAAAAATTATGAGTAAATTTAAGGAGGTTTTGAAGTCTAAGTTAATAAATAAATAAAAAAATTGGTGGAAAATTAGAAAAACAAGTATCACATAGAAAATAGATGGCAAGATGGGCTTCTTCCTAATGTTCATCAACAGTCATTCAAGCCAATTCTTGAGTATCCTAAGTCTAGATTAATCTCTTTCATGTCTTTCTCTTCAGCATCCATTTGTTTCATTACGTTTCCAATCATTTTCATTTAGCATCGTTCTTGCCTACCAGTTAAAGCATCCGAAAAATCATCAGACTTTTTCGTCTTCTGAATTTTCATTTCACTGATGTCTGAATTTATAATATTTCTCAGATTTATTATTTATAATTTAAGTGTTGCTGTATGATCGGGCAACATGAGGATTTTGGAACAGGACGCGTTTTCGGTTCAGGGCCTGAACAGAAACTTTAACCTAATTGAAAATTTTGAAAAAATCCTAAATTTGAACTTTAAGAACCTAGAGCACAATAAATTTTATTTTTAGTGCTGCAAAAAGAAATTTCAATTATATTTTGTTAAGCTCATAAAATTTGTGATCTAGCGCAAAATGTGAAAAATATTTTCAATGACATCATGGGGAGATTTCTTAATTTTCAGCAACACACCATTCTTTTCAAAAAAATTTTTCTTATGAAATTATCTGACCTTCTTGAAATTTTTAGACCCGATTTTTGGTTGCCCTCTTCTTTCCTTGGGCTCCTCTTCCTCGTTTACATCCTCTTCCTTGCCCTTTTCCTCCTTTAATATCTCTAGCCTCGTCTCTTCGCACTACCGCTTTAGTGCAACGCTGTAGTTGCCTTCCGAATATTTATCGGCCTGGCAGCCTTTTCCTTCTTCTGCCTGAGCCCTAGCCTCTCCGATTTCATGTTCTACTAAAGATCTCCAGTGTAATAGCATATCAACATCATCTGTTAAATTTTTGATTTTCTTTTTGTTGTCCTCCACCGTTATATTGAGGCTTTTTATTGCTCCTAGAGAAGACCGTTTTCTTTCTTCATTTTCTCATCCAGTCCATTATATTTATTTATCAACTCAGCATACTTTTAATCAGTTTTCATTAAGTCATAAGTTGACTTTTTATTCTGAAAATTCTCTTCAAATATATATCTTAAATAATATTTTTTACATGTAATTTATCCCCCACAATTTACCAAACAAAAATCATTTTAGAGTTCCTCAGTTTTAAAATTTTAAATTATACGAAAGCAAATAAGCTTATGACTAACAGATTTCGAAGATATTTTAAATTTTACATTTTTTGACCCTAAACAGCTAAGAATGAGTATGAGAGGGGAGGATGATCTTATTTTGGCTGAAGAGGCAGAATTTGGCAAAATATATGAATTAAAGTTCGTCCTTACATTATTTTCAACTAAATTTTCAAGTTTTTCAATTGCTTGCAGTTTTCTCAATTGCGTTTTCTTTAAAAAAATTCAGTTGATTCAGCTTGAATCAATGAAGATTTCTAAACTGCTGCCTTGAGAAAGTTCTGTGTTCGGTAAGGTCATCCTCCATCGCTGTTTTATTAGCCCAATACAGATCACGATCAGCATCGTCGCTGTGTAGTTGAGAATACACACGAGTTCAGCCTCAGCTTCGGCTACAATTTTGTAACCGTTGTTAATTTGAAAGGCTGCCGTGATAAGGGTTCGGTTGACGATGACATCGTTACTTGAGCTTTCTCCCTTTGTGATTTTTTCCATTAACTAAAAATGTAAGATATGTTTGGATTTTAGAGATTAAAGGTGGCTAGGTTTTGTTGAGAAAAATAATAAAGATTTTTCAAAAAATAAAATTCAGAGAATTTATTTTATTTTAATCTCGCCTATGTCCGGTTCTATTTATAATTAATTTTATTTAATCAAAAACAAACAAGTGCGCATTTTTTCATCATATCATAGAATTCATTTCCACAAACTGACATCTAAATATTTTTTGAAAATCTCTTTGAAAATCTCTCTTCAAATCTCTTTCTGGACTGTTTACTGCCATAGAGTGTTTCAAATCCAATGATCTTTGAGAATTGTAGGTAGCTAATTTCTCTGTGATGCTGTGGAAGGATTTGTGAATATTTAAAGTTGTCCAGATGGATAATAGCTCCATCCGATTATCAATCCTTTCCATCCATTCCAGTCGATTCCCTTCAAATATCAAGAAGCTCGAAGTCTCCTTTCAATCAAGGCTGAAATCATACGAGTTGACTGGGGTAGCAAATTAGTATTTTTAGAGAATAATTAAAATATTTTTTGAGTATTTAATATTTAAAATAAAATTTAATTTAATATAATTAGACTATTCTTCGCCTAATTTAATTACCACCCAAAATTTATCTATTTATATACCCCTTTCTAGCTTAAATTAATTTTGCTGATTATTCATTGGGAATGGCTTCCAAATTAATTTTTTATATTAAAATCGTACAATTTCCCAATAAAATTTAGTTGAAATTGTATAATTTTGGTTAATTCTGACTAATAAAAAATTATTTTTGAATAATCATATAGCATTTTTGTGGGATTTTTAATTTAAATATTTATTTAGTTATGAGAAAAATTGAAATTATGAATCATCAAAAAATAATTTTGGAAATGTTGGATAATATTACTATTTATTATTCAATTTAAAATACCTTAGATCCCTTAAAATACCGTATTTCTTCTAATAATGTCTAATAAACCGACCTCTAGAGAACGGCTGAAAAATAAACCGACCGGTCGCACTATTAGAAGAAATAACTTTAAGAAGGCATAAAACGCTTTGAAATTAATAGAGAGCTCAAAAACCCCGAGAAATTTCCCGACTCGGGAATCGAGACTAATTTCGAGACCGAGAGTCACCGAGAGTCTTCACTAATAATCGATGCATTAAGCAAGGGCATTATTGGCAATTCTCTTATTTCTTAATTTTAATAATTGTTAGAGACTTAGTTAGAGAATTAGAGCAACGTCTACATAAAGGATGAGACCCTGCCTAGTGCCTGCCTAGGCTGTCAATTAAGAAGTAATTTGCCAAAATAGAGAATTATTTAGTAAATTTTTTAACTCTTCATAAGAACTTTATTAAAATCTGAAATTAATTATTTAATTGAGGAATGAAAATTTCGAAAATTTTAATTTTTCTTTTTTTAATTTGCCTGTTTGAAGTGACGGAATGCGGTGAAGACGAGAAACCGAAAAAGGATCCGAAAAAAGAAGATCGAAAATCGAAAAAGTTGAAGATTGTGATGAAGAAGAAGGGTGAAAAGCAAGGGGGTAAAGTAACTGAAGAAGGGAAAATTCAAGGAGATAGAATGAGTGAAGATAGGGATGATGATGCTCCTCAATCAATTTTGATGAATCTCCCAAGCCTAGGATTTTTAAAAGATATTAAGCCAAGTCAGTGTAATTAAATTAATTTAAGGATGATTCACCTAGAGCGTTCAAAACGCTTGGGCGGGGGTTAAACTATCTAAAAGGATAATAAAGTTAAAGGATTAGTCGATGCTCCCGGTAGCGCAGTGGTAGAGCACTTTCATGTGCATGAGCAAGGCAGAGCGAGCACTTTCAGCGTTGTCGCAGGTTCGAATCCTGCCCGGTGACTAAACTTTTGCTAAACTCTTTCGATCGTATTTCTGAAGTATAATTCTATCGGTATAACTAGTTTTAAAAGACGGTCCGGACCGTGTTTCCTAGAATACGTTTCCAAAATTTTGAGAAAAATATGTCCATATAAAGATAACATGAAATAACGATTTACATTATAAAAATATTGACAAACAAAAATATATAGTTTACTTAATAATAAATTATTCAAATAATAAAATTTTTAAAGATTCGAATAAAGGTGTAGCTCCATTATATCATCATCTAGAAGTAATCAGTAAATCCAATTTTCCGGTTATTGAAGGTAATTAAAATTAAAAATTTATAATATTTTTTAAATGCTGGTCCTCTAGAAGTAACCAAAAAATTTAATTCTATGGTTATTGAAGGTAATTAAAATTTTATAATATTTTCTTCAAGTGCAAATAGATTTCTTACGAGTGTAAAGTTTCTTCGTCTCGAGTTGGGAATTGTACATGTCAGGGATCGCGCTGACCCGATTTACGATTCCCGAGAATCGGGAATTTCCGATGATTTTTAGCTCGTGAATTCGCGATTCCCAAAAATCGGGATTTAGTTTTTTGTCGGCACGATCCTTGGCAGAGCTGTGCGGTTCGTTTCGTGTTTCGTAGATTTTCTTGGATTTTTTCATGAATTTCGTTTCGTGTTTCGTTTAAAAATAATTTTTTCGTTTCTTTCGTTTCGTACATTGGCTATTTTATTTTTTCGTTTTCGTTTCGTTGTGACCAAAATTTTATTCTGCCCAGCTCTGATCCCTGGTACATGAACCAATTCCATGTTAAGATAAATGAATTAAAACAAAAAATTTAGATTTAAAATATACAGGTGACCATGTTGTAAAACATAACGCCAAAAGACAGAAGAAAGAAAAAGGAATTGAATTTAAAACCCCGGTTGAAGAACCAAAGAAAAAAGAAAAAGCTGTAGCTGGCAAAGGAAAGGGAAAAGGTACTAGATTTGCTTATCCAATCTGATCACCCGTCCCTCGTCATTTTGCAACTAGAAGATTTTTATAAATCTTTATAAATCTAATCTTCCTATAAGGATCAGAGATTCTGCCGTATCGATTCCCGAAAATCGGGAATTCTCGACGATTTTTTGAACCGGAATCCCGATTCCCGAAATCGGAAATTTTGTGTTTTTGTCGGCAGGACCCCAATAAGGATGACTCAACTAGCAGCATTTAAAACGCTTAGGTGGAGGTCAAACGATCTAAAATGATAAAAGATAAGCATTAGTCGATGCCAAAATAGGAGTATTAACAAAGGATTTTGGGCGATATAGAGGGATTTGGTGGGATTGAGAGTGATATCTATAAATTTGGGAAGATTGTGAGATCTATCTACTTCTTATATTTTGACACTCCAAAAGTCTCAAAATAAATTAAAATATAAAATAAAAAATAATAATTTTTAGTTAAAAGCACTCCAAAGGCTTCAACACCATCTTCTGATGAGGAGGGTTTTAAAGAAATTGGTGGAGGTAGTCGACAAGTCAACTCTGATGATGAAATGGAAGATAAATAAGAGAAAATTTTTTAGAAATGTAGTGGAAACAGATGATTGAAGTGATAGAAAAAAATTTTAAGAAAATTTCTTTTAAAAAACGACAAAAATATGTCATAGCATTTATTTTCTTGGATATACAGGGTGACATAAAAGTAACTGTACACACCGTTTTTGAAATAAATTTATTCAAATTGAAGATAATAAGATCAAATAAGGCTTAAATAATAGAGAAATAGGGAACAAATAAAATCAAGAATTTTCGAATGCCCACCCTTTGCTCGGATACAGAGTTCAAGGAGAGTGGAAAAATTTTGGGTAATAGTTCAACCTCCTAGGTTGAGATTTTCTTTCACTAACAAAAATGTAGAGAAAAAAAGTTATGAGTAATTGAAGAGTGTGCAGTTACTTTTATGTCATCCTGTATATACTATATATTTTTTTCGATAAATATTAAATTTAAATCCGATATCTTGTATTACCTCCTAAATCGGTAATGTCAGAAAATATTGATGGATCAAGTGGATATAAAAGGATTTGAAGGAATATCAGAAGATTTGGAGACAAATATTTAAATTCAATCAAATATTTGATGAATTTCTACATGCACAACCTCGAGAGACTTTCTTGCACCAAAATTTACTGATTTATATTTGTAATTTTTTCGTTTCGTACATACATTAATGATTTTATTTTTTTTTCGTTTTCGTTTCGTTGAGGGCAAAAATCTCTGTTTAGTGCTCTGTTTTAAACACTAAGCAATACATTAAAAATAAGGATTTCCAAATAAATTCAGACCTTACTCATAAGCAACTCTTGAGCAAAATTAGCCAAGACACAGTCTTGGCTTACAAAAATATTTGAGACTGTCCGATATTCCCTAATATGCCGAGACATTAAATATCCAGGATATAGTATAGTATACCGGTGGAAAGGTTTCGATATAAGACCCATACCATTCGATTCGTCTTGGCGAGCTGAGTCGAACGGTACCACTCTTTTTTTCCGGAGATGCCTTTGGACCGAGATATAGGCCCCCGAAAATCGAAAAACCATAGGGGGGACCAAGCACTTTTTTGGGGTGAAAAATTCGATTTTTCGAGTGATAGCTCATTCGAAAGAGCTCATCGAGCTGAGTCGAATGACACCAAAATGAGCTCGAGATCTTAATTTTGAGCCAAGATAAACAGGTTCAAAATAGTCAACATAAACCTATGGAGCGTCGGCGAGGCGCTTGTGCAAAACCCCGCGCTTCGCGCGGGGTTTTGCGGCACGCGCCTCGCGGGGAGTCTACGGGCGCTGGGTCTGGGCTCGTAACTTAATCCTATTCATATTATCACTGAAGTGGGCTTGCCCGGTTTCCTCCGCACCAGCAAAAACACAACGGATGACATAGGTAAGGAGCTAAAACAAACAGTCATAACTTTCTCAAATCAAGTCTGATTTTGCTGATTTTGGTGTCATTCGACTCAGCTCGAGGAGCTCTTTTAAATGAGCTATCATTTGTATATTCGAATTTTTTATCCAAAATTCGCACTTGTAGTTCTTCAATTTTCAGAGGTCTGTATCTCGGTCTAATCAAATCAGATTTCGTTGATTTTGGTGTCATTCGACTCAGCTCGATGAGCTCTTTCGAATGAGCTATCACTCGAAAGATCGAATTTTTCACCCCAAAAAAGTGCTTGGTCCCCCCTATGGTTTTTCGATTTTCGGGGGCCTATATCTCGGTCCACAGTCATCTCCGGAAAAAAAGAGTGGTACCGTTCGACTCAGCTCGCCGAGACGAATCGAATGGTATGGGTCATATATCGAAACCTTTCCACCGGTATACTATACTACAGCCAATATCCATATAAAAAAAGCTAAATTAATTAATTAATATTGAGAAATTTTCTACAGAAAATATTGATAAATTCTTGGCAAATATTGTAGTATACCTATTTTTTATTTAAATTAGGTTTACTCCAAATAATCCCCACCGTTGATGTCCAGAATATTTATTAGAAACATATTCCTTTTTGACCAGGAACTCAATCTGAAGAAAAGATTATGAAAATCGCACCCAGATACGATCCTCATTTTTCTTAGGCCAGTCCTCCTCTGATCCTTACTAGGGTACAGCACAAGTAGGCTTTACCCTAATAGCCACTTGCTTTGAGATTTCCGAGTCTCAACAGATTTAGTATTCTCAAGAATAGTTCCACTCATCATTTCATCAAAATATTGGGGTTTCAATAACGCAGCTTTTTTTATTCCCTCAAAATTGAAATTTTTTGCCAATCGTTTTTTTCGTTGACTTTAAAATTTTAAAAATTAAATAAACCATTAAATAATGTCCTTCCATTTTGTTAAAATTACATAATTTGATTTACCAAAAATGGAAAACTTTTTTATAAAAATACTTGTTTTCGACTTAAATCAAGATTTAATTAAATAAATTGGTAGACAAAAACATTTAAAAAATATATATTTTTCCAAATCTAAATATAGATAGATAAAGAATAGTGGAGTCTCTTCAACACAACATTGAAAATGATAGACTTTTCTTAAGTCAGGTATATAACTTTTTCTATTGTAAATTAATTTTGCATAATATTAATTAATTCAATTATTTTTAATTTAAGGATTTTTTAACATTCTACTATACATGTAGATGCATTGAAGCCCATTTATATTTTTGAAGTCAAGCTTTTTGCTTAGACAAAAAATGTGTTTAGTCTTGTTCATATGATACCGTAGCATGGGGTACGGCCCGCTTAGTCGCGCGGCCACTTAGTCGCAGAGCCATAACTTGCTTTAAGATTTCCGAATCTTTCCAAATTTGGTATTAAACGATTCCTCTCATCGAGCTAAAGAGATAGGTACCAAAATTGATAAGGGCCAGAAATTTTTTAGCAAGTTATGGCTCTGCGACTAAGTGGCCGCGCGACTAAGTGGGCGTGTCCCTGTAGCATGTTCTACAAAAGTACCGTTTAGAGACAAGACCGAGATGAAATCCCTGTAAAAAATCCCGGAAATCTCTGTATTTTCCAACACAACTTGGAAAATAATTGACTTTTCTCAAGCCAGTTATGCTTCTATAGAAAATTAATTTTGCATAATATTAATTAATTCAATTATTTTTAATTTAAGTTTTTTTGAACATTTTACTAGATTTAGATTCCATGCATCATTTTAGTATTTTTGAAGTCAAGCTCTTTGCTTAGACAAAAAATGTAATTGGTCTTGCTCTTTTGATACAGGACCGTTATAATTAAGTACGGCCCAGAGTAAGTCGGACCCAGAATTTTTTGATTCTCCAAATAAAATACCAAATTTTTACATCATTTTGTGGTAAATTTAATTCCATATGAACAATGCCAATAAATTCGGAACTCTCCTTTTGATAGTTAGTCATACTTATAGACTCAACATACCCAAATGCACTTTTCTCCCATTCAAGCGTGAACTCTAATTTTTATTTGATTTACT